TGAGCCTGAGCTGGAGATGCAACTTTGCCAGTTCCAATGGCCCACACGGGCTCATAGGCCAATACAACATTGGTCCAATCTGACACTTTTGCTGCAGTTAAAAAAAACATCTTTTAAATAAGTACATAAAGAAATTAATCCAGTTACACAACACTCAACAAACATTCTTTCACACTAACAGTAAGCAAGAACTTGGAATTTTGAAATGCACCTGCAATGGCCTTGGTTTGTGCAGCCACAACCTCCACGGTCGAGCCAGATTCTCGCTGCTCGAGAGTCTCACCAACACAAGCAATCACCTTCAAACCTTGAGCTAGTGCATATGCAACCTTATCGGCAACAAACTGAAACAAAATGTGTGCATAATGAGAAACTATTAAGCAATAGCTAATGATAAATTGATCGACAGTGCAAGGAGAGAGAGAGTACCTCATTGGATTCGCCTAAAATAAGTCTTCTCTCAGAATGACCAAGAATGACCCAAGGAACCTCCAGATTGACCAGCATTTCAGCACTGAATATCACAACAAATCAACTTAACAAGGGAAAAGTCCAGATTGACATAAAATGCAAATTCGATGTATACACTTATATGTATTTAGCTCATTAAATCCTGTGATCCTGTCACAACCAGTTTAAAACAAACCATCTTCGCAGATTTATGCTTTCGTTGTAGTTGCATTCTTTTTTTAAATCAGATCAGAAGCCTCATATTCTGAGCTTTCCTTTATCAGTAATATTGCTAAAGTATTAAGGATTTGACCACAGTACCTAAATCATTAACTCTACAAAATATCAGTAATATACATGCTATTTTTTACTATGTATCAATTTGAAACTAGATGTCGACATCTTGACGCAATGAAACATACTTGTAAATCATAAACATACAAACCTAACTTCACCAGTGAAGGCGCCACCCTTCTTGACCCAGCAGTTTTGTGCCGCAACATGAAAGTCAGGCCTCAACGAACTCTTCACCACTGGAAGAAACACATATGGTGGGCTCACCACAACCTCTGAAATAAGAACAACCCAAAAAACAAATTAACAGTTTGATAACTCATATAGATCACTACCAATTATAGAAGAAGTACAAATAT